CGCTCTTCAAAGCCTCGAAAGCGCGTCTCTTGAATGTACGAAAGAAGCCGTCCGACAAAAAGGTCAATGGCACAGAGCGCTGTGTCGCGGCTTCACGAATGCAGAATTTTGGCAGTAGCCGCTCGGCCTTGTCGGTGATGTGATGAGTCTACGACGTTTGAATAAGGGAATTTTAATTGAAAACACAACAAGTCGCAAATTTTTCTCCAAAAATATTACAAATTACAATGAAAATAAATTAAAAATAAATATAAAGATAGAATACAAAAATTGAATTAAATTTATATACATACTTAATATTAAGAAAGAACAGAAAAAATCTTTAGCTTTAATTTTTAAGAGAAAAAATATTCTTACAAACACGATCCGTCTTATTATAAAAATAGACAAAATTGAACTAAATTTATTTAATTATAACCGTTAAAATTACAAAAAAAACGATACATCTTAAAATTAAATCAATTTAATTTAGGATTTTATCATATTAACATATACTTTGATGATGCCGTTTTAAGATGAATAATTTTGCCTTTGACTCGATACCTGGAACAACTCGGTGATGTCGGTTCCTTTTGTGAGCCGAATCCATTCTGCACCACCCGGATGCGAATTCGCGAAAGCCTCTAGATCGTAGAGTTTATTTTCGATCCTCCACAATCCCTCCGCACCGTCGATTTTTCTTCTAGCCTCCAGAAAATAAGCCGCAGTTTTATTCTCTCTCGCTGGCAGATAAACCAATCCGGGCACCGTACTGGTTTTTGACATTTTGAAGGTTTTCATAATCTCGTCTAAAGAACACACGAATAAATTTGATACGGCGGATCTGTCGATTTGTTATTGAAGTCCATGTTTCAAGAAACCAAACTCTATAAATCTATATAAATATCTTCTACATAATTTTTTTTAATTTGTAAAGCAGATTTCTTCCCCAGCCTACGCATATACTTTGCAATAAAGTGAAACAATAAAATACAAGCTTTTCTTTGTATTCAAAAACTTGTATAGTCTCATGTCAAAAGCTGTTTAAGAATTGATAGAAATAGGTAAAATCTAATAATGATAATGCAGTATCATATTAGTCATATTAAAAAAATAGTGTATATAAACAAAAAATGTCAACGAAGAGGCATAAATAACACACAATTT